TGGAGTGATTCATGTGGATTTGGAATTGATTTGGCTGATTGGACTTGGGACACAAAACATTTTCCTTAAAAATAATAATAAAAAAAAATCTTCCTTTGCCCATTTGCTCTTAGATCTCCCAGGGATCGTGTCCCCTGTGCCAGGCGGTCCCAGCCCTCCCTGCAAAGCAGCACCTCTGTGGCCCTTCCAGCGCCTTTCCAAGCACTGTTGCTGTTCCAGGGGATTCAGTCTCTCACTCTTGCTTTCTCTTTCTTTCTTTATATATATATATATATATATATATATATATTGTCCTGCTTGCATCTGATAAAACCCATCCCCTATTGCATTATTGCATTTCTTCTTCCTGTGCCCCCGCCAGCTCCAGCTGGGGAGCAGGAGGGAACCGCAGCAGCATTGCTGCAATACTTAGGGGTGACCCTGCACTAGCTACTGTCCCGGACCGGGAGTCCACTGTGCCAGCCTGGATGTCTAACCGTGCACGGCCCAAAGCCCCAAGGAGGTACGGGAGCAGCCTCAGCACCACTCAGCTCCGGGCGCCGACCGGGGACGAGCCAGCGTGCACAAGCCGCGTTGTCTTGCATGACGAACCATCGTGACCTCCTCATCCAGATGGCACCGCCCTGCGTTCTTGTTCCATCCTGGCATCACAGGGAGGCTTAGCAGGCATTTCAGAGCCCTCAGGATTGATTTATTTTTTAATAAAGTTTCATTTCCAGGCCAAATCAGGTCCAAATATCGATGGAGCAGAGCTCACTAGTGCCAGTCTGTGTGGCACTACCACTGGCAAGACTCCTTCTTCCCAAGCCTGGGGCTGCAGACACTCCCACGTCCACGGCAGCATCCTACGTGGAGGCCCCAAGCCCGGAGGCCTCGGGGTTCAGATGCCCCCGGTCTCCCTTGCCCTGAGCCAAAAGGCTGAAGGAGCAGGCTAGAGGGAGACCCCGAGAGCAATCCCCCATCACCATAAATTGTGTAGCCCAAATCCTCTGGTTGGGAGGCATTATGGACTCTGGCAGGGGTCGAGAAGAAGGGGATCTCCCCTGCCAGGTCAGTAAAACCACCCGGGCCCAAAACCACCTTGATCTCAGTCTGAAAGCAGAGGAGCAAGCTAGGCAGAGCTGCTCCCGGGCGAGGAGCAGTCGTGGGGTATCAGGTCCAGCTGCCCCCAGGCTAGGAGCACCCGTGGGGCATCAGTGGGTCGTGTGAGCAGGGGCACGAGTGCATCCTGCCAGCGGCTGGTCAGGCCGGCATTGCGATATCCCCCGCTAGCAATGTGATACCTGGTCCTCGCCGTCACCCCCAGCCGCAGAGCGGGTCTGAAATGCTACTGATCCACCGGCTGTAAGAACGTGGGGTGCAGGATCCTGGCCCCCCTAGCTAGGAAGCTGCCTCCGGGCTTCGTGCGCCACGGGCAAAAGCTGTAACCGATGCAGCGAGACAATCTCAGGCCCATTCAGGCACCTGTCTGCAGCCTTGCGCCCGTGCTTCGGAGGACAGAGATCTCCTCTGTGCAGTCATAAGCCACATCTGCCATCAGAGGAGTGAGCGCTGCTGTCTGTCGATGCCCCGGGGTGGGACGTGTCCTCTGTGCGGGGCGAAAGCCTGAGACCCTCTGCTTTCACCTGCTGCAGCACGTATTGCACAAGCCTGGAAGGAGCCAGGCCTATCCCGCCCCCTCCCAAATGAAAATGTGCCTGGCTAAAGTTCGGCCAGTTTGGGATGGAGGAGCTGCCCCACCGGGTCAGGAGACAGACGAGGGACAGAGATTTAGAAACCAGCGGCCCGTTCCTGACCCACCCCCAGGGTTAAAGATGCATCAGCCAGGGAGGAGTCTCCAGCCCCGTGATTCTCGGGTGCCGCGGGACCTTTCAGGGGTGCTGCAGGGTGCACGCCCCATTAGCACGGCAAGGGGTGCAAATGTGGCTCTCACAATCCACCCAGAAATGGCAAATGGAAAGCTGGAGCGGTAAAATCCCCTGCCCTGGTGTGGGCTCGCACAGCCCTTGTCCACAGATGGACAGACAGCTCCAGCATTTTCCTGTGGTGCAGAAACCAGTGAGAGCAATGGGGGCGGCATCCTCCGAGGGGAGACGGGGTCGGGGGGGTCTTTCAGTCTGGAGTGCCTTGAACTTCAGCCTAGGAAAGCTTGAGATGCGTACCGGCAGTCATGCATACTTTGGCTAGTCCATAGGGTGCAAATTGATAGAAAGAAAGAAAGACTTTTTGACTTTTAAGAGACATTTATTCCAGGGAGGGTGACAAGTGGGGGCAGGAGAGATCATGTCCAGGTTGGTCCGAGAATCTGGGCCTCACGGACAAGGCCTGGGCTCATGGCCTGCAAGGCCTGCCTAGGCAAAAAACAAGAACACGAAGAACAAAAGGAGTATTTACATATATACGGTTCTGCCAGCGGGGACGCCCAGGGCGGCATCAGGACATCAGAGGTCGACCCGCATGAAAGAAAGAAGACAGTGCTGCCAATGTAAAGGTATATTAGATAGACAGACAGACAGACAGGTGGACTGGTGGACTAGAAGACAAACAAATACATACAGACAGACATACTTTGACTAGTCTATGAAGTGCAACTATATAGAGACAGACAGACACGTACATACGCAGGTACTTTGGCTAGACGGTAAGGTGTGAATCTGTAGGGAGAGAGAGGTAGAGAGATGGATAGATGGATAGACAGAAAGACAGATGGATGGATAGATGGACTGGCAGACAGACAGGCAAATACATGGCAGTCTGTGGGGTACAAACCGATCGAGACACGGATGAATAGATAGATGGATGGACGGGCAGACGGACGGGGAGAGGTGGGCTGGCTGACAGACAGACGGGCAATTCCATGGACGAATGGACGCGACGCAAACCTCCAGAGCCAGGCGGGGCGGCGGGAGACAGACGGACGGACGAAGGGCCCGGCGGGCAGCGGGGCGGGGGCAGCCCCTGCCCGGAGCCACCGCCGGCCGGCCCGTGCACAACACCGAGCACTGGGAAGTGGCTGTCCAGGGCCAGGCGGGCTGTGCCAGGCTGGGGGCAGGTGAAGATGCAGCGCGCAGGGCCAGGGGAGCAGGATTGGGGCCCCAGAGCTGCCCCTTTCCCTGCTCCCGCCCCGGCAGTCAGGTCCTGCCCCTAAACCCCCACGACACGAGGTCCCCCTGGCCGGGTGCGGGGGCTGCCCTGGGCAGGGGGGTGCAGGGGATGCCGAGCTCCTGGCTCGGGAGGTGCCCCGGTGCCCCAGCCCCCAGCCCTGCCTCCGCGGTAGCAGCCGGGCAAGGGGCTGAGCAGGGACCCCCGGGCCCGCAGCGGGAGCCAGGCGGGCAGGAAGGGTGAGGTTTGCGCCGGGGCGGCACGGCCCATAACAGCCCCCGGCCATTGTTCCAGCCTGGCTTCCTCTCCCGCGCGAGGGCCTGAGCAGGACCGGCCCAGCCTGGGAGCAGACCGATATCCACCCATCGTTCCCGCGCGCTGCCGGGATCCGCCCCAGAGCCAGCTGCACTCGGGGCCAGGAAGGGCGAGCAGGGCCTGGGACAGCTCATGCCGGGCTCCCCTCGCCAGGGAGATGTTGGCACCGCTGCTGCCCTCCCCTGCGCTGCAGGTCGGGGGGCCGCGCTCTGGGCCCGGCTG